ATATTTGCTTAAATGATTTTGCCTTGAGCAAAACTCAACCTAGTGCTCAAAGCATTGTGCTGAACTGAGCCTATGGTGAGGAGACTTTAAAGGGGGCACCATGGCCAGGAGACTATGGCATATCCATCATGCCAATCCCTAAAAATAAAGGATGCTAAAAGGATGCTCTGCCCTGACCACCAGCAGTCTGCCAGGCCTTTCACAGGTTCACATGCTCCTGCCACTGATCTTGTGGGTTTATTTCCTGGCTCACAGGCAGTGTGAGAAGTTACACTTGGCTGTGTAATTTCACTGCTTGTCTGCAGCCACATTCTCATCCCTTGCTCAGTGAGCAGCAATAACTGCCCTCCATCTTCCCCAACCCTCCTGCAGACTGCAGCACCAAAACAACAGCTCCAACATCCTGGGTGAAAATGAGGTACTAGGGAGTGAAAGGATTTATCCAAGGCCAAGCCTGAGATATAATTCAGGGCTTCTGCCTCCTGATCTCTTTGCACCTTCGTGCTGTCTTTCTCATCACACAGTATTCCTATGCTTTCCTGTGAAATCGAGGAAGAGTGTCCACCTCCCTTGCATCCTCATCCTAAAGGAAAAGACAGAGGCAAGTATGATGCGAAAACAGAAAGATTCCACGATAGTCTTCTCATCCTGCCACTAGCAACAAGTGCCTAAATGTAAAGTGTACATTAATTTAGTATTGAACAGATGGAAGAAAACTATTAACCAAGGAGATAGGGAAGAATGGTGCTCAAACACTAGGAAAAATTACAGTAATAGGTCATATATAACATCTCCTCCCTGCTTCCCAAGCTGGATCCTTTTCCAAGGACTCCACTCTAACAAGCTAACACAAGTCTGCTCAGGGGGGAGCACTGAGGCCAGGTCTGCACAGGCTGCAGGACAGCCATGCCCCAGGTCCCCCTGGTTCACTCCTCTCCCCCTCCCTGAGAAGAAGTTGTCAGCAGAACCTGTTGGAGCAGGGGCTCGTTGACTGCTCCCTGTCCATTACAGCCTGGATTATAAGCATATTGCACAGTGCTCTCTGCACGGTGCTGGGGAAATCCAATACACTGAAAGGTTAATGCAATCAATTAGGGTGACAAGGAAGTAGAGTAAAGCCTTCTGAGTAGATGAAAGGGAGAGAGAGATTGAGACAGGGAAAAGCAAAGAGAAGCGGAGGGGGGGGGCAAAGAGTGGGAGGAGGAAAAGAAGGAAGATGGTACACAGGCCCTGTGTGTCGGGGTGCCGGTGTAGCCAAGGGCACCATCCTGCCCCAGCATGGATGGGGTTGTGTCATTCACAAAAGTAAGGCAGGCCATGTGTCCCCAAGGCAGCAACTGGGCCAGGATTCCCTGTTTGTGGCGTTTCCTGCTGTCTTCTGCAGAATGTGGAGCCCTGCTCAAAATGCAGCTACCCAGGTTGTTCTGCCACCAACCTGCTCCCTAAGGGTGGTTGCTGGGGGACTGGCAAAAGTTCTTGTGTCTTTCTTGCCCAGGTACCCAGAAAACATGAAATAAACTAATTAGGCTTGCAAGCCAAAGGATCTCAGAAAGCCATGGGGGAGCATCAAGGGAGGAAAAAGAAGGAACAGGAAGGACAATGAGAACTTCTGGCCGTTCATACACTCTGTGCACAAAAGTAAGGATGAGCACCATCTCTCTGTAGACTTCCTAACTAGATACTGCTCATCACCACAAGCCACTTCCCTGCACCTATCCCCTCATGTCTGTAAACATCTGTAAGATAGGTGCTCTCTGAGTTTTCCAGCCTCCTTCCCAGTGTATCAACCTGGGCTCTCCTACAAGGCCAGAGAGCAAGCCCCAGCCAGTGCCCAGCCATAGCAGTTTCACCCTTGTCTGCAGATGGTTTGATGAGGATGCTGTGGCACTCAAGCCACCAGCAGAGCATGGAAATCCCAGTGCCGTAATGTACACCCTGCTGCTCGGTCCAGCATGGCACAGCCTTTCCCCAGGGCATTCACTCCAGGGAAGAGCCCCATCCATCCCCTCCAGCCCCCTGAGCCACTGCTGACTGGCTGAACTGCTCTCTGACCCCCCGAGCAGAGCGGCACTTCATTAACCTGGGCTGACAGGTCAGCGAGCACAGCCCCTTCCTACCACGGTTCCTGCTCGGGCACAGCTCAGCCAGGGAGAACGTGACACCAGCTCATTAGAACAAATTATTACTCTATAACCCCTGCTGCAATGTCCCTTAATATGCCTATTTAGCAAGAGACAAGTCCTGGTGGGCTCCTCGGCATTAAAACAACCTCGCAAATCAGCAGAGGCACAAGCACCATGATCTCCGCTTCTGGGGGTGGCAAGAGGGCGGCTGTTCCTTGGATGGGTGCTGGAGGAGTGCAGGGTCCTGGGCTCTTCCTCTGCAGCAAAATGAAGCTCCAGATATTGCTGGGGGATGTTCTGCAGGCAGGGAGTTATCATCTGGCTGTGGCTCACTGCGCTGCCAAACATGCCCAAGCTTCAGCACAATGAAGTGTTGTTCCCTCAATGAAATCCATGAGGAAGTGTTCTGGGATGCCCAGTAAACTGCTGGGCCCGTTTTCCTCTGCCTTATCCCTGCCTAACTCTGCCCTCAGCGCTACCATCAGTGTCATGTTCCACGTTAGACCTACAAGATTTAAATGTTTCCCTGTGATATATATGAAGTCAGAGCCTGGCTTTCCAAATCCATCTACAACACTATTCCTACCTGCTCACTCCCTCAGCTTAACCAGCAAAGCCAAAGAGCAAGTTTAGAAGCTGACATTGATGGCAGGCACTGTGTGCTACCTCACGTGCTACCATGTGAGGCCAGGCTAAATTTTGGGGGATAAACCCACTGCACATGAGAGCAGTGGGCTCACACCTTTGCAGGGAGGGCTGTCAGCTGTCTAGGACTAATCCAGAAATCACAGAACTGCCACAGTTTTGGGCATGGCGAATGAGGTATCACAGGCAAAGACAGGAATGCGGGCAAATGTCAGAGGAAGGCTGCTATTAAACAGGAACAGGGAGCATGAGGAAATCAACCTCCAACCTGACCTTTAGAAGAGGGAAAAGGGAGAAATAAAACAGTGATTCATGTAACAAAGAGAAGTGGCAGCAGTGCCAGGCAGGAGACAGTGAGAAAGAAAAGTAATGGAAAGAAGAGAAGAAAGTGTGAAAAATGTGTGATGCTGGGCACAGAGAGGGGCAGGATGAAAGCAAACGAATGGAGAAATGAGGGACCTGAGAGAAAGAGAGAGAAGGAGGAAAAGGAGGAGAAAAGAGCAAAAACAGCCATGCGGCGAGGAGCACACGGGCGACGCAGAGTGCTGTAACCAGGGTTGTGAAGCATGAAAAGGGAAGAATCTGCCTGTTCCTTTCAGTACTTGGAGCATGGCGCTCAGTGGTGACCTACACTGTGCCTGGCTGTGATCACGTTTTCAGGGCCACTGCCTGCCGATCCCAAACAATGATGAGGAGCCTTTGAAGTCAGAGAAAGAAGCCGCAATGTGAACTGGGCACTTTTTTTCCCCCCGTTTTTCTCCCCTCCATTTTTTTAAGGGCCGGGGAAAGAAGGGAGGAAAAGGAAGGCCTGAAGTGGTGGGGGGAAGGCTGGGGGAGAGGTTGCAAGGACAGAACAGAGTGGCTCTCGGTGGGGTGTCCCGAAATGAGAGAGACAAAAAGAAAACAAACAGTTTATGAGTAGGGCACATGCTGCCTGTGTCTGCATGCCCCACACTGCTGGCCCCCCGTGCTCCAAGGGAGGCTTCTGTTCCCCAGCAATGATGGATGGATGCATAGGGCCATTCAGGCCTGCCATGTTACAGCAGCAGTATTTACATAACACTGGCCTTCCACCGGTCACCTCTGACACTGCCCAGCCCAGTTTGGGGCCCCCTCCCACCCCAGCCAGCCTGGGACCCTCAGATGTTGCTCAGACTCAGTCCATGAGCTCCCCAAAACGGGGCATTGGGGGTCCTCACTGCTGCAGGGATGCTCTGAGCGCACACACCGCAGTGACTGCTCCTGGCACCTCTGAGTAATGTCTCACAGGGCTGAGCACCTCCCACCCTCCCCACGGCCTCTCCTGCCCTCACACCTGTCTTGGTGCCTGGGGATGGAGGGGAGGGAGCAATGTGAGAGGCCAGTAGTGGTTGGTGATGCAGGGGGTACAGAGCAGAGACATGGGGAGAATGGGAACTCTTCAGGTGACACACAAGGAACTTCGTGGTCCTCCTGGGGCGCAGAAGAGGAGCCAGGAACTGCCCCAGCATGGTAGGGACTTCTCAGTAACCATTATCTGAGGTGGCATAGGGAGTGTCTTACCCAGCATACGGAAATAAGGCATTTCAGAGACAATATCATTTTCCATTTCCCTGGGCTCTAGACCTCTAACTCTTGCCAGGCACAGAGTAAGTGACCATCCAGCTCCAGGAGACTGTGAAGCTGGGCCTTTTTCTTCTAAGACAGACCATGAAGGTCTAGGTAAAGGGCAAAACCAGGAAAGCCCGGATTCTGCTGGAGGCACCAAAATGCTTCCACTCTGCCACCACGACTCTGCATCTGAATAGATGAAGATGTGCCAGAAGAGGAGAACATGCACATCACCATCTGAATTATGTGAACTGAGCTCAGCAGAACTTCACAGTAGATGGAGACTGCATCCTACTCAGTCCTTATATCCATCTCCCGCAGCACACATGGATGAAGATAAAGCAGTTCCCTTTCACCAAAATCATTACACTTTTTTAGCTGTAAAGATAGAGGCAGTAGAGAAGATATTAAGGAAAACCCTCAGTGACAAAACCAAGTGCCCAGAACAACTGCAGTACAAAGACAAAGACAGGATTAGGACACACATATGCCACATCTACACTTCACCTTCTTCTGATTCCATCTCTCTTCATGAGTAACAACAGCCCAGCCCCAGAAGTTCTAGTGCAGACATGGCCACAGTGAGCAGGCCGTAAGTGTGAAATAGAGGAAAAGAGAACCCAGGAGAGCATAGTGACATACCCATTGCAGTCTGAAGTCTCTCCTACCTTTCGGAGATTTCAAGGCCTTGTTTCTTGCCTCGTTTTTAGCTCTAAATTCACTTCATTCTGGAGTGAAAAAAGAAAGGATCCAGTTAACACACAGGGCACACCAGAGTAAGAGCCAAGACGCACAAAAGCTGGATAAAAACATGGTCCAGCATTGGACATGCAGACTTCTCAAGCGAACAAAATGCTTTCCTCCTCCTGGCTGTACCCCACAGTGCCATGCATCCCATGGCACTTCTCCATGCAAGAGGTTCCTAATGAGGGTTGGGAATAATTTCACATAAAGACCAGCTATTACTGGCCTGAATCCTGCTCCCCAGGAGACAGAGACACCAGAGACAGACCTTGTGCTGCTCTGCTCCATACTTTGCCCACACATCTAAGGTTGTGTTGTGCTCCATGCCAGATTTTCCCTTCCCAATCTTCACATTTCCTCTATTGACCCCTCTTTCCCAGAGGATCACCCGTGTGCTAATGGTGAGGTCTCCCTTGAGCACCTTCTGGGGCACAAGATGACAGGGTGCAGGACTGGGTCCCATGTCACTGAGCCCCTTTATCCACTCATCTGTGCATTTTCTGCCCAGGAGAATGCAGAGAGTGAGGAGGAAGGAGAAAAGGGACAGTGGAAAAAAAAGTCACAGCAAAATACATGAAAAGTAAATTGAATTATTTAAAACCATATGTTCCAAAAATGTGACAGAGCATAAAAGCCGTGCCATGAGACTTCTGGAGGGGGTTATTCTGCGCAGGCAGGGTGGGAGGAGAGCTCATGGCTGGGAGAGGTCTGCTCTGCAGCCAGACAGGGACTTCCCTCTCCCAGAGCTAGGAGGTGGCCAGGAGAACACGGTGGCTTCATGCAGAGTGGCAAGGGTGCCTGGCCCATTCCTGTAGTCTGTGTTTCGCAGCTCTGCCAAAAAAAAGCTCTCCCAACTGCCCCGAGGGGACGCACAGCGTGCCCATGGTTGAATCCAGGACCCCCAGCTGCCCATAGCACACACCGGCTCTCTGCATGTTTCCTTCTCCAGATGCAGCAGTGTGTGCCACAACTCAGCCCTTCTGAGACCCTCCTGAGTCCCTTGTAGGACAAGAGTGAGAGGGATTCAGGGAACTCTGTACTGCTGCCATGGGCTACCCCTATGTTCCAGGGCCCTGGCACTCTGTGCACGTGGATGGCCTCCTCCTATCACTTACACTCTTCTGCTGCCAAAGACAGAGGCCACGTGTTGGCTATGACCTAGAGCAGGAAGGAGCTGGTGAGATATCCCAGATGGATGGATGGACAGGAGGACAGAGCCCCTCTGGTGAGGAAGGTGCATAACCAGCCTGGTTCCTTCCTTTCCCACTCAAATCCTGATGCTAAAAGGGGGAGGGCATGGCTAGAGCAGGGTAACAGCTCCCTGATTTGAGGTGCTTCTCCTACCCTGGTAGCCTAGGTCCTTCTGGCATCCTTTCTTCCACCTTCTTCTTCCCTTTGTTCTCCCCTTCTTCCTTGCTCCTTCCACTGTTTTCTCTGCCACTCTGTCACACTGTTTTTTCACCCCCTCTCTTTTGTTCTCTCCCTCTTTCCAGAGCTCTCTGCTTGTAACTCTCTGCCTTCCTGCCTTCACTCCCTAACCCCTGTGCACGATCAATTCTTCGGATTGGGTTTTTAATTGTTTTTTTTTTTTTACTCTTCTTTTGGCCGCAGCTTATCAATGATGCAAGAGGAATAACGCCAATTTACTTAGAATGTGTAATCCCCAAATCAGATTGGGGGATTGTATGAGGCAATATGACCTTGCATATGTCTCCATTAAAGCCAGCCAGGCCTCCTCTTGTATTCTGTGTTCCCAGTACATATTTAGACAGATAACGCTAATTGTACTTGACATGTCCTCTTAAGGATGGACTCTTCCCTCCCCCAGCTCTGCTTCCCTGCCTGACAATGTGCCAGAGCCGAGCCTGCTCACCAGCAGTGTGGCATGGCACAGCAGCGGTGGGGACAAGCCCCCACACCCAGCCCCACTGTGGGCTGGCCTCCAGCACTGCACCGCTCTGGGTGGGAAGGGGTCCAGAGAGGACAAGGAGCAGGGGGAGGGCTGCTGGGACACAGTTAATCTGAGATTTACACACTGTTACTGTGTCAATCTGTGGCTTCCCCTGGAAAAAAAGCCTTCAGACAAAGAGAAGAGACTTGCTCACCATGAACATATATGAAGTCTCCCTCCTTTCCAGTGATGGCCTTCTAACACCACACCTCTTAGCTCCCACATCTGCTTTGGGTAAGTATTTGTATTTGGCTATTGAGCCCCACATCCAACTTCTAGGGAACATTACTGGAAAATCATAAAGTCCTATAATGGTTTGGGTTGGAAGGGACCTTTAAAGGTCATATATAGTCAAACTCCCCTGCCATAGGCAGGGATACCTTATACTAGACCGGGTTTCTCCAAGCTCCATCCAAACTGGCCTTGAACACTTCCAGTGATGGTGCAGCCACAGCTTCTCTGAGCAATCTGTGCCAGGGTCTCACTACCCCCACCAAAACAATTTTCTTCATTATTTCTAGGCTAAATTGTGCCTCTTTTAGTTTAAAAGCATCACACCTTGTCCAATCACTATAGGCCCTGCTAAAAAGTTTGTCCCCATCTTTCATGTAAGCCCCCCTGAAGAAGCACTGAAAGGCTGCCTATTCCTTGTGCCTGCCGTTCATCACTGCTCCAAGAGCAGCCGTGCAGGATGCAGGAGGAGGAGGAGGGGAGCTTATTCCAAGGAAACCAATGCATCCAAACTCTTCGCCAAAGTGGACTCAGTTTTTTTTTCCCCTTGACACAACATCCTAATTCGACTTTTTCAGTATCTTTCCTTCAACAACCTTTTTTCCTTCCTCCCCTTCCTACCCGGCAACTGCGCATTTATTAATTCATGAGGCACTAATTAGTTCTTTGTTTAATTTTGTGTTAAACAGACTGACCGGAATGATAACGACTTGCAGCGTTGCATTACGGTCCCCAACCGCCCCTGTTTTCTGACAACAAGGGAGCGCAGTGAGACTGGCGTGATGAACCCCAATTCCCACTCCAGTTGCACTTCATTAAGTCAAAATGTGACAAGAAGCTTAGAGAGCAACTTTCAGATCAGATCGCACATAACAATTGGGCAGGAAACTTTCCAAGGGGGAAGCGCGAGAGGCACTCACAGTGAAGGCTGGCACCACGTGCAGTCCCCTGGCGTGCCTGCCTTAAAGGAGCCAGCTCAGGCTGTCCAGGCAGGAGTCAGGGCATGTGCTGGGAGCTGCGAGTGCCTGAGGAAGAAGAGGACAGGAAGGGAAGCAAGACAAGCCAAAGGTACAGCAGGGCAGGACAGGAGCCATCATGTGCTCCCCTTGTCATTTTTTGCAATGACAGGTAGTGTTGGCAGCCTGTGGGATGGATTGTGTTGGGAACCCTGGAGCCCAGGTGGGATAATTCCTTAGGGGGTCACTTCATGAGCTTTGAGGACATCTTCAGGCACCTTCAACTCCATGCTTCAGTCTTCCCCCTGCAGCTCTACAGTGAAACAGCTGGTGAACCTCAGCTGCTCTTCAATTATCAAGAACTACACAGTTATCATGGAGCCCCTAAACTGCAAAGGGAAAGGGTGAATCCTGGCACCCACATTGCTAAAACAGACGGGAAGGGACAGCTGTGACAGCAGGGAGAGGGACGGCTGGTTTCTTGGAGAGGAAGCTGTGCCCTCCTTCAATTCTGTGCAGTGCCTGACACTCCAGTGGCACTACCAAGTTTTGAAAAGGTCCTGATCAGTATATAACAGCAATAAATTTGACAGACCACAAAGCAAGCAAATGGTGAGCCCTCTGCACTCAGCTGTACAAGTGGGAATCCAGCCACCCCAGCACTGCCCATCCCCACGCTCTGATGAGTACCACGAGTGCTTCACTAGTAGCTATGGCCATCGCTACAGGGTTTGAGTGTGTAATCACCTGTCCATCCTGGACAAAGCATCACCTGGCAAAAAACACCAAGCATGATTTAATCCTAGACATAGGTCAACACAGGTGACACAGCCTAGTTCATGACCAGCTGGATCTGTCCCAGCCTTTTTGTCACACAAGAGTGTTCAGCGTGTGGCCACCTCTTTGAGCCCCTCTGGTTCACTGAAGGACAGTGACATGCAAGCAGGAAAGTGAAAAGGGTCTTAAAACACCACCTGAGGGGGGTGGGGTGTGAAACAAATGGAGACTATCCAAGTGCACAAAACATGGAAGTTTTGCCACAAATCAAATATATCTTCTGCTACTGCAGAGATATCTGCTTGGGAATAAACCAAGACCACCTAAAAATTGAAATGAGCTGTGAGGTCTCAGTGACTTCTAGCAAATATTCTTCTCACACTTCTCCTCATCCCTTTCCCTCTTCCCTCGGGATAGGAAGACTCATCCCCTAGACTTGCTCTGCAGAGGCCCAAAGCTCAACTAAAGTCCAAAACACCTACAAAGCAATGTGAGGGACTCTGAGAGTGTCATCAGGACTGGGGAGGGACACAAGAGCTGTGAGGGAGTGCACATATGTCCTGGGCAGGGGCAGGGGAGAGAGCCCTGTGACTGAAGCCTCTGAGCCCCACAGGAGACCTGCTGGCTCCAGTCTCTGCATGCATTATAAGTGTTGTCACCTGAGTGAGCTGTAATCGTACCAGTCTTTGGGAAAGAGGCCAGGCTGCAGCAAGGTAGCACAGCATGGTGTTTGCCAGTACACTCACAGCTGAACAACATGCAGATCTGAGAGCAGACGTGTTTGTGCTGGCTTCCATCTTTCATGAATCTGGAATGCAGCAGGGACCCCTGTGACTGACAAAAAGGCTGTTCCTCCATGACAGAAATCCCAGGAAGACACCACATCCCTCTGATTTCACTTCTCTATTTGGATTCTGGATCCCATAAAAAGGCATATATAGATATTAACATTCAGTTGGAGGGTTGGATTGGTGTCCAGAAAGGGCAAATCACCCATTTAACCCCTGAAGCAAGGATAACTGAGAGAGTCCAGGATTCCTGGGGAAAGAAACATACCCTGCTGTCACCA